GCGGCGAAACCGCACGCACGGTCGCACCACAGAAGGCCTGGCGGTGGAGCTGAGGCGCACCATGATGGCCACCGAGGTCCCTATTTTGAGGCAGGTGGTGAAGTTCGCAATTCCTCGGAACCGTTGGGCACACGCCAAGAAGTGGGGTGACAAAATGTTCGTACAGCTCACGGCAGGACTCCATGTCGACCCGAGTGTCTTTCGACAGTTCGTGGGATGCTCCGGCAGGGCGGACGTGGCGAAGTCGCAAGACTCGCTGCGTTCGTTCATATATGAGTCGTTCAAGTGCCGCGCGCGTGACGAGCGGGAGGCACGTGAATAACACTCTCCCTGCGGAGCCGGTGCCGCGAGCATCTAGGCCATATCAGGTGTACGGGCGTGCCGCCAAGGACGAGGTGGCTGAGCGGAAGCACCGGCTGTGGTGCGACGAGTACACGAACAAGGCTGGGGCCGATGAGTTCACTTTAATATGTGTCGGCAGGTTCGTGTTACGACGATTTTTGCAACGGTTTCTGGCGCCGCGCGGATCTTTGAACCTTGAACGATCGTGTACAATGGTGCCTGCATCGGGCAACCATAGGCCTTCAACCTTGCGCGCCCGCTCTGGTGTCTCCGCCGCGTCGACGCGACATGAACCTGCCGTAAATAGAGGCGCAACTAAACCGACCCTCTTTTGCAGCGCTCTTTCTCCTGTAGGCATTACGCGCGTCTCCTGATCCTCTACGATTTCGCCCCAGCCGTTGGCGAGGACTCCGCGGAGTTCCCGACCGACTTTGGGCATTAGGTCCACATCGGGGGCCAGAAGTTCAACGCTGCAGTTTTGGAGCGGGCCCGCAACGCTCCGAATCGCAGCGGGGAAATGCACAAGTTCTGGGGGGAGGGGCGTTACAAAACGCACCAGATGGGCCACCTCATTTGCGAGGTTCCGCGCGACAGTTCCTAGCGCACGCGGAGCTCGGCGCGAACATGGAGAAAGAGACTCTGGAGGCTGTTGAAGGACGTCGCGGGTGTCATAAGAAAGAACCTTGGCGGAATAACGGTTGGGATGAGATCGAAAAGTCCGCGGGCGCCCGCCTCCAAAGAAACATCGTGCCGTCGGATATCTGGGGGGGCCGTGAGGGGCGCCGAGGAAGTCATAAGAGAGATCCCTAAAGAAAAAACAGCCCCTGGGATCAGATCGGGAGGTCCGCGGACGCACGTTTCGAAACAAACATCTGGACGTCGGATGTCTGGGGATGGCGGGAGGCAAGGCGCGCATGGCGGATGCTGAGGCGGCAAAATGACGGAGACGGCGATGGGGAGGCGGAGGCAGAGGCACAGCAGCGAAAGGCGAGAGGCGCGAGGAGGAAGGAGGGAAGAGGAGGCAGGCGGGAGGAAAGAGGGGGAGGTGGGAGAAATGAGAGAGGTTTCAGGCAGAACGGGGCACACCATCTCGTGCGCAGCATCTCGAAGAACCCTGACAAAGAACCAGTCCCGGGGACGAAATCGAGAGGTCCGCGGGCGCACGTCTCGAAACAAAAATCGCGACGTCGGATGTCTGCGGAGGGCGGAAGGCAGGGCGCGCATGGCGGCATCTCGGAGCTTCGCATTGTGAGGATGGTTCGGGGGAAACGGGCTGGACCTCCTCGCGTGCGGCATCTCGGAATTCAATATTGGAAGGATACCCCAAGAGAACCGGGCCGTTTTACCTCTCGACTCCCGTCAAGCCCTCTCGTGCAACTCCATTCCTCATCCCTCCTCCTCCTCCTCCTCCTCCTGCCTGCTCCCTCCTCCTCCTCTTCCTCCTCCTCCGGCACGTTTTGAGACGTCGCTAAAAGGTATATGAAATCCTGTTCGGGGAACCCTGTTTCGGAGCCCAGGGTTGCGAGGATGTCCCAGGTCGCACCTGGTCGACGAGTAAGCTGCCAGGTCGGCACTGCGAGAGGCTCCACCGCCATGCTGTGAACTCAGAAGCAACTTTAAGAGGAAACGGGGGAGGGCGCGGAAGCGGGGGGGCATGTCGTGATGGTTCCCTCGGGGATGATATCGAAAGGAACGCGGCGCACGTCTCAAAAGAAAAATCACGACGTCGGATGTCTGGGGAGGGCGGAAGGCAGCGCGCGCATGACGGATGCTGAGGCGGCAGAAACGACGACGGCGGAGACGGGGAGGCGGAGGCAGAGGCGCAGCAGCGGGAGGCGGGAGGCGGGAGGAGGGAGGAGGGAAGAGGAACCAGGCGGGAAGTGGGAAGAGGGAGGCGGGAGAAGGAATGAAAGAGGTTGTGATTGGAGCTCCTGCGCTACAAAACGTCTCAGGCAGAATGGGCCAGACCATCTCGCGCGGAACATCTTCCAGCCTCGCATTGCGAGGATGGCTCAATCGAAACGGGCCGGACCCCCTCGCGAGCGACATCCTGGAGCTCAGTATTGGAAGGATTTCTCAAACGAAACGGGCCGGACAATCTCCCCCACACGTTTTGACAAGTCCACACCGCACTCGCTTCCCGTTAGGTCCTCTCCTGCAACTCCCTTCCTCCTCCCTCCTCCTCCTCCTCCTCCTCCTCATCCCCCTCCTCCTGCCTGCTCCCTCATGCACATCATCCGCCTCCTCCTTCTCCCTTCCATATCATTTTCCTTCTCCTCCCCCTCCTCCTCCTCCTTCTCCTCCTCCTCCTCCTCCTCCTCATCCCGAACGGCATCTCGGAGCCTAGAGTTGCGAGGATGTCTCCAGCGTAACGGGCTGGACCACCTCGCGCGCGGCATCTCGGACCCCAGAGTTGCGACGATTTCTCGGGCAAACGTGCTGCGAGGAAGTCTCAGGCGAAACGGGCCGGACCACCTCGAGCGCGGCGTCTCAGAGCTCCGAGTTGCGGGGGCCTCCTGGCGCCTCTTGGGGCCTCCTGGGGACCTCCTGGGGCTTCCTCCTGGGCCTCCTGTGGCCTCCTGGACCCCACTTGGGGCTTCCTGAAGCCTCTTGGGGCTCCCAGGGGGGATATCTAACCTGTGGCCGTTTGGGCCTCTCCAAATGGAGGGGGGGGCACAAGAGCAGGAATAATCAACGAATCGACACCGGATGCGTATTAAGTTGACACGTTCTGACGAGGGCCTCCTGGGGCCTCTTGGGAGCCTCCTAGGAATCTCCTGGGGACCCCTGGGGCCTGTCCTGGGCGTCCTGCGGCCTCCTGGAGCTCTCTGGGGCCTCCCCCTCCTCCTGCGTGCTCCCTCATGCACATCATCCGCCTCCTCCTTTTCCCTTCCATCTCCTCCTCCTCCTCCTCCTCCTCCTCCTCCTCCTCCTCCTCCACCTCCTCTTCATCCCGAACGGCATCTCGGAGCCTAGAGTTGCGAGGATGTCTCCAGCGTAACGGGCTGGACCACCTCGCGCGCGGCATCTCGGACCCCAGAATTGCGACGATGTCTCGGCGCGGCGTCTCAGAGCTCCGAGTTGCGGGGGCCTCCTGGGGCATCCTGGGGCTTCCTCCTGGGCCTTCTGTGGCCTCCTGGACCCCACCTGGGGCTTCCTGAAGCCTCTTGGGGCTCCCAGGGGGGATATCTAACCTGTGGCCGTTTGGGCCTCTCCAAATGGAGGGGGGGGCACAAGAGCAGGAAGAATCAACGAATCGACACCGGATGTGTATTAACTTGACACGTTCTGATAGGCGGCCTCCTGGGGCCCCCTGAGATCCTCCTGGGAATCTCCTGGAGACCCCTGGGGCCTGTCCTGGGCGTCCTGCGGCCTCCTGGTGCCTCTTGGGGCCTCCTGGGGACCTCCTGGAGTTTCCTCCTGGGCCTCCTGTGGCCCCCTGGACTCCACCTGAGGTTTCCTGAAGCCGCTTGGGGCTCCCAGGGGGGATATCTAACCTGTGGCCGTTTGGGCCTCTCCAAATGGAGGGGGGGGCACAAGGGCAGGAAGAATCAACGAATCGACACCGGATGTGTATTAACTTGACACGTTCTGATAGGCGGCCTCCTGGGGCCCCCTGAGATCCTCCTGGGAATCTCCTGGAGACCCCTGGGGCCTGTCCTGGGCGTCCTGCGGCCTCCTGGAGCTCTCTGGGACCTCCTGAAGCTCGCAGGGTCCCACGAAGGATATGGAACATGTGGTCTTCTGGGCGCCCAGGCTGGACCACCTCTCGCGCAGCATCTGAGAGCTCAGAGTTGCGAGAATGTCTTGTGCGAAACAAGCCAGACCACCTTGCGCACGGCATCTCGGAGCTCAGAGTTGCAAAAATGTCCCAGGCGGGACGGGCCAGACCACCTCGCGCAGGGCATCTCAGAGCTCAGAAGTTCGAGGATGTCTCAGGCGAAACGAGCCGGACCACTTCTCGCGCGACATCTCCGAAGTCAGAGTTTCGAGGATGTCTCAGGCGAAACGGGCCGGACCACCTCGCGCAAGGCATCGCAAAACTCAGAGTTCCGAGGATGTCTCAAGCGAAACGGCCCGGACCACCTCTCGCGCGGCGTCCCGGAGCGCAACTGTTCGAGGATGTCTCAGGCGAGACGGCCAATCCCGGCCAGCTCAGAAACGAGAGTTGTGAGGATGTTTCAAGCGAAACGGCCAAACCAATAAAATTGTTGTGAGGATGTCTCTGCTCCGCGTTCCCTCGGCCGGAGTTAGTTTCTATCACAACAGCACCCCGTTCAGCAAGCTGTTTGGGGAACAACTGTATGAAGAATGTGCGTCGTATCGCTGTCTGTCTGTTGTGCGCATGCGATGAGTGTCCTGTGGTCGTGATGGCATGCTGTGTTGTGCGAGTGCGTGTCACTTGTGATGTGAGCGCGGTGTTCGCCGCGTATGTTGCGTATGCAGTGTGGTGTGCCTGTGTGCGTTGCGTTGTCCGTGGCTGTCCCATCATATATGTATATATAATATAATATATACATGTATATGCGTGTTTCGCGTGCGCGCTGTGCTGCGCTACGCGCAAAGGGCGCGCGTGCGTGCGTGCGGCCAGGATTGGCGGCACCAGCTGAAAAAGGTATCTACATGTCGTAACATTACGCATGCGGTGCTATGATAGGCTACTGGAAGCCCGCGAGAGCTTCAGAGGCGTCCTCCTGCAAAGTCGTCCGCTTCCCCAACGAAATAAATTGTTGGCATCCATCGGAAGGAGTTGCTGCATCGGCGTAGTCGTCTTCACCCAGCAACCCTCCGACATCGGCGCCAGCATTTCCGAGGCGCTTGACGTAAAAATTCAAGTATTTCACACCCTTGTCCGTGCAGCCGCGTACGACCTTCAGCTCCACAGGGCCAAGCTTCGTCCAGCCGGGCATCTGGAGAGTCGCGCCGTTCACCTCCTCGGTGCTGAAGAGAAATCCGCCTGTCCGCACCTCGTTGGCCCACGTCCCTGTGATGTTCAGCGTCTGGAAATCCGCCGCCGTGCCCCCTGGCACTCCCAGTCGTCCCAGAATGCCAAGTGCTGTCTGGCAGGGATCCTGTGGATCTTCTTAAGCACCTCCCCACCTCAGGACGCACTTCCTTGCGTGCACCAGACCCTCTCCCGGGGCCGCAACCTTCGAAAAATACCACCGATTCGCATTCTCCCAGGGCTACGCGCGTCGCCCGGCGGCTTCCCGCATGACCTCGGGGAGGGCCATTTTCGGCACCGCTCAAAAAGACGCTGGCCTCCGAGGGCGGAAATTCAAGCCTCCCGACCCAAGAGGCCGCCAAGATGACCCCACGAGGCCCCCAAGAGGCCCCAAGGAGCCCCCAAAGGGCTTCAAGAAGCTGCAAAGAGGCGGGATATGCAGAAACCGACTATATGCCACCGGTTCGCGATCCCGACGCCCAAATCCCTCGTAGACAATGAAAAATCGGCGCTCCCGAGGCCAAGATGTCTCAAAGACGGCTCAAGATACCGCAGCTCCACGAAGACGGCCCAATTTGCTCTCAAGATCACCAATGATGGCTGTCACCTGCGACGATTTCGGCGCGTGTCCCACAGAAGCCCAGGACAGCCCCAAGACGCCCCAAATGAGGTCTATGAGCGCTTCTCGAGAAGTGAAGACAATAGATGTCGCACGTGGCGGATTCACCCTTCCTTTTCCTCATGCTCATCCAGCTCCTCCACCTTCCCTCCTCAACATCATCCTGATATATTCAAATGCCATCACTATCAGGATCTCAATCACCGTCCTGGTCTTCATCATCGTGCACATCAAAATCGTCATCGGCATCAATATCATCATCCTAACCATCATCATCATCATCACCATCATCAGCACCATCGAGCCTGGAGATACAATGCATCACAAGTTAGGGTACCCGCGCTCCCTCGCGCAAAGACCACCGATATACCTGGGCTGGCATGGTGGTGGGACGTGCCGCAGGCAGCTGGATACAGTTCCCCACAATGTGCGCCCAACTGGCGCGCATCCGCCATGACGGTGAGCAGCGCGTCGTCGCCGGCCTTTCCGCGCGGGATCTGGATCAAAACGGCCTTGCCAGGCCTCCTCAAATCAAACCGTTCGCCGTAGATGTTTTGCAGATGCGGGTCGCCCGTTGCAGACGCTGGCATCGGTGCGACCGTCGGTGCTGGTGTCGGCGCAAGCGTCGGCACTGCATGCGGAACGACTGCAAATCGGGCCACCTTTCCAGAATTCGCCGGCCCAACGGGCCAGAGGCGTGCTAAGATCTCCGCCAACTGCTCAACAATATTTCTGGTTCGCGCGCGCGGGGCGGGTCATGGGGGTCCCCGGACGAAAAAAAACCCGGCAAGGTCCCGGCAAGGTCGCGGCAAGGTCCCGGCAAGGTCCCTTTTCGGAGCCCAGGAGGGTTCCAAACGGTCCAAGAGAGGCCCGAGAAGCCTTCGAGACGGTCCAAGAGAGCCGGGAGACACCGAAATGTTACTCCCAAGTGCCTGCGATGGCCTCAAGACGGCCCAACAGGCCTTCAAGACGCCCCAAGAGGTCCCTAGGCGGCGCCCCAAGAGGGCCCCCACAAGCAAAAATCGTCCCATTCCCTTGGGAAAACGCGCATTTTTTACATATCCGCCTCTTCGTCTCTCACACCTTTCAAGGCGGCCCAAGAGGCCCCCAAGATCACCCCAACACGGCCCGAGAGACCCTCAAGACCGCCCAAACACGGCCCAAGAGCGCTCCAAGAAGGCCCAACAACCCTCAAGAACTCTTTCTCGCAACCCAGGAGGGCTCCAAATCGGTGCAAGAGGGGCCCGAGAAGCCCCCCAGACGGTCCAAGAGAGCCGGGAGACGCCGAAATATCACTCCCAAACGCCTGCGATGGCCTCAAGACGGCCCAACAGGCCTTCAAGACGCCCCAAAAGGTCCCCAAGAGGTCCCTAAGCGGCGTCCCAAGAGGGCTCCCACAAGCAAGAATCGTCTCGCTCCCTTGGGAAAGCGCGCATTTTTAACATATCCGCCTCTTCGTCTCTCACACCTTTCAAGGCGGCCCAAGAGGCCCCCAAGATCACCCCAACACGGCCCGAAAAACCCTCAAGACCGCTCAAAGACGGCCCAAAAGCGCTCCAAGAAGGCCCAAGAAACCCTCAAAAACTCTTTTCCGGAGCCCAGGAGGGCTCCAAATCGGTCCAAGAGGGGCCCGAGAAGCCCTCCAGACGGTCCAAGAGAGCCGGGGGACGCCGAAATATCACCCCCAAACGCCTACGATGGCCTCGAGACGGCCCAACAAGCCTTCAAGACGCCCCAAGAGGTCCCTAAGCGGCACCCCAAGAGGGTTCCCACAAGCAGAAACCGTCTCTTCCCTTCGGACAACGTGCATGTTTTAACATATCCGCCTCTTCGTCTTTCACACCTTTCAAAGCGATCCAGGAGGCCCCCAAGATCACCCCAAGACGGCCCGAGAGACCCTCCAAACCACTCAAAGACGGCCCAAGAGCGCCCCAAGAAGGCCCAACAAACCCTCAAGACGGTCCAAGAGGCCCCAAGACGGCCCCATGATTGAGGTCCACAGGGGCAGCCTGAACGGAAATGTTGAGCTTCCCGCCCAAACACGCCCCCGAAATGCCCCTACAAGCCCCCAGGTAGCCCCACGAAGCCCCCAAGAGAGCCCCAAGAAGCCCCCAACAGGCCGCAAGAAAGCCCCAAGAGGCCCCCAAGAGACCCCAGGAAGCTCCCAGGAGGCCCCCAAGAGACCAGGCAGACCCCCCCAAGAGACCACCAAGAGGGCCCACCCAGAGCCATCCACGAGGCCTCCAAAAGTTCCCAAGAAGCTCCCACGAAGTTTCCAAGGGCTCCCAAGACCCCCCAAGAACCCGCGATGGCACAATACGGGCCGGCGGAATGAGCGAAGCGATTCAATATCCAACACCAAATAATTCACGGTTTTTGTAATACGGGTTCACGTACCCGTAAATCCCGTCTGTGAAACCGCCATAGCATCCCCTGAGCTCGCCGTCCTCGTCGGCCAAGCTGAGGACTTCAATGGTGTTGAACCCAGACAGCGGGAAACGAACAACTTTTGAAAATTGATGGTATGGAACAACGTAGCCGTACGTCCCGTCTGTAAAGCCGCCGCCGAACCCCCTGAGCCCGCTGTCCCAGGTTTCCAAGTCGAGGATCTCGACATTGTTGAACCCTGACAGCGAGAAACGAACAACTTTTCCAGAATGTGGTCCGCCGTCTTCGTACCACGGGACCAGGTATCCGTGGACCCCGTCCGTGAAGCCGCCATTAAAACTGCGAACCCCAACCGCTAGGGCCTCGACATTGTTGAACCCAGACAACGAGAAACGAACAACTCTTCCAGCTAGGTTCAACGACAGCGGAATTAAATACCCGTGAGTCCCATCTGTAAATCCGCCGCTGAACCACCCTACGTAGCCCTGGCCCAAGCTGAGGACCTCGACGTTGCTCAACCCAGACAAGGAAAAACGAGCGACTTTCCCGTTCGTCGAAATCGCGTACCCGTAGCTTCCGTCCGTAAATCCAAAACTCATGCTATTGAGATCGCCGTCCGTGGTAGCCAAGTTGATGACATCGACACTGTTGAACCCTAGCAGCGAGAAGCGAACAACTTTTCCGGTACGGCTGATCACATACCCGAAGGTCCCAGCAGGAAACGCGCCAGCGCAGCTTTGGATGTCGCTGTCCGCGGCAGTCAAATTCAGAACCTCGACGTTGTTGAACCCCGCCAACGAAAAACGAGCGACAAACCCCGTGACAGAGCTAGCCATGTACCCGTGGGCCCCGTCCGAAAAGCTGTTACGAAAAGCTACAAGGTTGCTGTCCGTGTCGGCCAAATTGAGGACCTCGACGGTGCTGAAGTCTCTCGTCGTGTCCTGCGCATGAGTACTCATTCGCGAGGCGTTGTGCTTAGAGAAGATACGATGAGCACGATATCCCGCCTGCATCACCTCGGCGTTCGCGGCGGGCATCACGTTCTGCAAGAGAAACGCCACCACGCATGCGGTGCACTGCGCCTTCCCAATAGCGAGCATCAGGAAACTGGACGAAACAGGGGATCCAAGAAATGAATGTGAAAGAAGGTGCACGGTTAAAGTGCTGACCGAAAAGTAACTGCCTTGAACCTGAAGAAGCTGTGTTAGCGCTGCCTTTCAGACCCTTGAGCCAGTCTGGGGGGCGCCTCCGATGATGGGCGTTGCCGAAGAGTTTCCCTCTAGACATGTCTTTCGAGTGGGAAAAGACCTGGGGAGCGGAAACAAATCAAGAACCCCTTCCCGCAAAGGGGAACTGCTTCTCAAACAAACATGATCGACCCACGAACCCGGAAAGGAATATAGAAATGTAACGCATGGCGACGTTTTCAAAGACACCTGATTGGGTGACGGGCAAGTGCAATGCTGATTGTATCGATCTTGATGTACCGTGCCGAGGGCTGTGCTGTGCTACGCCGTGCTGAATTGCGATGTGCCATGCCGCGGTTGTGCTCTATAGCGTCGTGGATCGAGTCTTCCTTTGCATCCGAGTCCTGACCGAACTGATCTGGATCTTAAGCTCGAGCTGCCTGAACAAATATTAGCTGCCCCAGAGCTAATTGACAAGGGGGCATGCCAGGAGGACGCGCCGCGAAACGTCCCAAGGGACGCGCCAGGCGGCGTGCCAGGGGACGTGCCATGGGGTCGCACCGCCGGACGTGCCAAGGGGACGCGCTACGGAACGTGCCAATGGATGTGCCACGGAATGTGCCAGGGGACGCGCCACGCGACGTGCCAGGGGGACTCGCCAAGGGACGCCCCACGGAACGTGCCAAGTTGCAATGCTGAGTGTATCGATCTTGATGTACCGTGCCGAAATCTGTGCTGTGCTGCGCCGTGCCGAATCGCGATGTGCCATGCCGCGATTGTGCTCTATAGCCTCGTGGATCGAGTCCCCCCTTGCATCCGAGTCCTGACCGAACTGATCTGGATCTCAAGCTCGAGCTGCCTGAACACATAGTAGCTGCCCGAGAGCTAATTGACAAGGGACATACCAGGAGGACGCGACGCGGAACGTGCCAAGGGGACGCGCTACGGAACGTGCTGGGGACAAGCGTTTCGCTCGAGACATCCTGCCAACATCCTCAGAATTCCTGCGCGCGGGACGCGGCACGCGCGAGACATCCTCAAAATTCTTGCGAGCGGGACGTGAAAACAAGCATTTCGCCTGAGACATTCTCTGAATTCTGGACCCCCCACGAGGACCCCCACGAGGCCCCCGCTCGAGACATCCCCCAATTTTGCAAAACCAGCGTTTCGCTCGAAACGTCTTCAACAAATGATGAAAAACAAGCATTTCGCTGGAGACATCCTGCCAAAATCCAAGGAAATCCTGGCAAAACGAACGAATTAGTCGAGACATCCTCGACATTCCTGCGCGCGGGACGCGGCACGCGCGAAACATCATCGGAATTCCTGCGCGCGGGGCGCTTTTCCGCGTCGCGGTCGGCTCTGCAAAACCAGCGTTTCGCTCGAGACATCCTCAACAAATTCTGAAAACAAGCGTTTCGCTCGAGACATCCCCAACTCTGCAAAACCAGCGTTTCGCTCGAGACATCCTCAACAAAGTCTGAAAAACAAGCGTTTCGCTAGGGACATCCTCCAAAATAATTCCGCCGGCCCTACTCCCGCACGTAATTTATCGCAGAATAATTTCGCCGGCCCATCAGCCGTCAGATCCGGGGGTAAACCTCTAAAAGAGAACCCTGGGCTCGAGCCCTTTCGGGGAAAAAACTTTGAAAAGGACCCCCCCACCCACTAGAAGCCGCTCTAAAGGGCGAAACCACTTCTGGAGAGGACCCCCCCTACAAATCCCAATCTAGAGAAGGAGAAACCTTCCCTAGATCAGGATAACCATTAGACACCTATTCAAAATGCGGAGAACCCTCTCTAGAGAAGGACCTCCCCCCCTTCAGAAACTTCTCGAAGAGAAAATCCTGCTCTTCCGGAGGGGGTAGAAATGGAAAAAACCCTCTAAAGAGGGAAAGCTCCCTTTTAGAAACCGGCCCCAAAGGAGGAAACCCTCAACAGGACGAGCCCCCCTCTTTGAGAGGGAAACTCTCTCTGGAGAGCGGGAAACCCCGCTAGAAACCGCTTCTGAAGAG